CCAGGATCCGAAACGAGGCGTTTCCAGTATGACTGTTGTAACTAGTGCTGCACTACAAGCGAGCAGAATCCAGGCAGGAGCCGAAACGAGACATGCGCAGTACGAAAGTTGTCGCATGCAAACCAAGAAAGGCCGGTCGACATCATAAAGCGCTCTTTGCGTCAAACGACCGTATAGAGCATTTTTCGGTTTTGGACGATATATAAACAGATTTTTCGAGTTGGTTGAAATACGTGACGAAAACCGAATAAAGATAAAGTCGGTTGGATTTGTTTTGACAGTAAACACGAAAAACTGGATTTGAAGACAAGCAGGCTTAGAAATTTCAGATAAAGCGACTCGCGAGATGCAAAAATTTCCGCCCGATATACGACCAACCGCGAACATGCGTGCAAATATGTATGCGAACACTCACAGAGCAGTACGTCGGCTGCAGACTTTTCCTCGCAGCAGTCACGACATGTCGGTTCCGACCCAACGGAGGGCGGCTAGCAGGCAGTAATGCTGCAAGGCCCGCAAGCTCATGGTGCGAGGATGCGAGTGCTCGACGATCCGCCTCAGATCGTGAAATCATGCGTGAAATCTTGTGTGCGAATATGCGTGAAATCATGCGTGAAATCTTGTGTGCGAATTGCATGTATGCATGTGCATGCATGTGAAGGCGAATTGCTTGACCTTGCCGATGAGATCCTCGTCGAGGAAACAACTGTAGTACCGGGGATTCCCGGCCTCAGGAACCCAATCCAAGATCCTTGGATTCGGACATGCATGCATGCATGAAGATCTTGCATGCCACCGGTGCATATATGCGTGCAAGTCAAACAACAAAAAATCTGATGTTCTCGAACCTAGGCTGCACGTGTTCCAGTTGGTGCATTTTGGGTCGCAGGTTATACCTGTACACCCCTTGCTCGATTGCTTCGCGGGCCAGGGCATCGTACACGGATCTGTACTGCATATATGCCCGCTCAAGGACGATCTCTGGGTGGCCATCGCAATCCTCGGCATCGTGGTCCCAGTAGCGCCTGAACGTCTTAACGTGCATGCATCCTTGGACCCTTGACCGTTTATAACTTTCAAACACATGCATGATTAAAAAAAGACGATTAGCCCGGACACGGGTGTTCAGCAAACACTGTCAGCATGGTGCTCAATGCTCCGAAAAGGCTGGCACGAACCTCATCCTCCTTTTTTCTCGAGAAGTCGTACATAAAGTAAACCATGTATCGAGAAGCAGCTGCCTTGAGATATTTCTGCGAAACGTGAGGATAATCCTTGCTTTCTCCCAAGGTCTTTGACAGGAACAGCTTGGGATTGGCACGATCCTGCACTCCTCAGGCTGAATATCCATCTAGCGAACACATGCATGCTACCAGCTATATATATATATATTATAATCATAATAAATGCGTGCTTGAGTGCCTTCCTGCCGACACCAGTCTGCGTACTCATAGCCAATTGCCCGCAGTCTAGCATCTCGCGAACGACCTGGTGCTTTGCCAGCGTCGGAAAAGTCCAGCAAGGCCGAAGTAATACAATCCACAGATATTTGCAAGTCCAGAATGTGCAGAATATCTGGGTAAACTCCTGCAAGATCGAAGTATGTCAAGGATCCATGGCTGAAACATACCTAAAAACTCACAGGCTCGAATTTATAGTCATACAATAATTGCAAAGCAAGACTCGCTTGGGTGAAAATCCTACCAATTGCGTGATGCATGTTGCACAGTGGACAGCTTCCCAATCTGCCCGTGTCTGCAGGATCCTGGACAATCAACATGTGCTACTTGGCAATCGTGCGTGTGTATACACATATATAATGCTGCGAGATGCGTGCGACGATGGCGGGCATTTAGACCAAACTCAGTGTACAGCATGTCGTGGCTCCCACCGGGCTCCACGATCTGCGTTGCCGCACAGTACTGGCAACACTCCTTCCTTGTGCTGTGCCAAGATCCTGAGCAACAAAAACAAGGGCGAGGTATATGTCAGTATATATGTATATATGTATATATGTGTAAAAAAAAACACACATGTCTCTTGCGTGGCCAGTCTCGTTGGAATCGAAATATCTTATGAAACCAGTCTTGGTCGCCTTGAAGCCCAGCCATCACAGCTCGCCACTCTCCGGCCAAAGGCTGGCCAACTTTGTCTCTCCGATATCCTTTTGGCCACTCTTGACCGAAAGGGTCTCGTCGAGGCCAGCGGCCACGACCTGTATACATGCATGCATGACATGCCATTTCGTGCACGGCATGCGGGATATGTGATGCGTGTACTAGCATGCGTGCGTGCCACCCAGGCAGCGGAAAGACCATGCAATGATCTCCAGGATCTGGTCTCGCACCTCCTGGCACAGAGCGTTGTGGATGGATCCATGGATCATGCAAAAACGATCGGCCTCGCTTGTGCTAGTGGCATTGCGGATACATATCCTTGCAAGCAGCAGTATATGCATATGCACATATTGATTTCAAAGCATATAATCCATGGCACGGAATGCGAGTGTCCAATGTACTCGTCTTGTTGGTGCAGACGGAGACAAGACTCATGAGCTCGAAGCTGCCGTTGCCTGAGGTATATATACACACACACATAAATTTGTATTAGATATATATCTAAGTATATTTGCAGGACGGTGTAGTGCTCTTGGCTTCCAGCTCCAGGCTTCGGCACCGTCGCCGTAGAGTCGCCAGGGCATGATCTTACGGAAGGAGACCTTTTTGAATTATCAGGTATACGAGTTTAAGACATATAATCTGCGGCCACAACTTTGCCTGCGGGCCCCATGCTCCAGCAATTTCGTCCGAAAGGCCGGCATTCTGCTGCCAGAATTTCTCGAGATCCTGTAGCATGTAATATGCTACGAGGCTGGCCAATTGCATGCGTGTTTAAGTTTCAAGATCCAACCTCTGGAGTTCCGGTCAAGAAGTCGCTGAACAGATGCCCTCCGAAGTCGTGCATGCGAGCGAAGACTTCGTGAGGAAGAAGCACACCGATGGTGACATTGTGCTTTGCTTCCTCATTCCCCACCTGCAGTTCGTGCATGCTAATTTTCAAGCATGCGTGCAAATTCAATGCGTGCAGGATTATAATTTAAAACACAAGATTGCCAATGCATCTATGTCACCCGGACCCTCGGCACCTGGAACCTGCAGATGCGAAATGAATGCTTCGATCCATGCATGAAAGCATCAGCACATGTATCATGAACATAATAAAAATGTTGATCTGCATCCATGCACTCGTATGGTTCCGGAAGGCATGCCCGTGCAGGCAGCTTAAGGCACCAGCGGTTGAAGGTCCGCTCCAGACCCCATCCATGGGAATTGTGGAAAGCATCAGCCAGCTGCAGCACCCGCCGGGGCACCAAGAACCGAGGCAGTTCGCTCAGGGTCTGAAGGCTCTTAGCCAGCCGCGTCATGCTTGCCTCGATCATGCATGTTATGGTTCAGGATTATAATATATATATAGGGTTTAAGGTTCTAGGGTTATAGGGTTTGGGTTTTAGGGTTCAGGCTTTCGGCGCTCCGACTGCGATGATGCAGGCGAGGCATGCATGCGGGTCGAGGGAATTTCATATATATAGTTTCGGTTGATTGGTTTCGAAGCATGCATGCGTGTATGTATGCTTCATGCATGAGGGTTGAAAGTTGAGGGTTTAAGAGTTTAACATGTATGCTTCATGCATGAGGGTTGCAAGTTGAGGGTTTAAGAGTTTAAGGCATGCATGATCGAGGGATCTGGGTTCTTTTCAACATGCATGATCGAGGGTTGAGGGGTTTAGCTTTAGAAAGCATGCATGATTTTCGATACCTCGCCCTTCATGAGCATGTCCAGGAAGTCTGTCACGAGCTTGGAGATCGCGGTGCCGTGCCGCGTAGATGCCAAGGCGTGACCTGCGTGGGTATAGCAATAGCATAATACTTCATGCATGCTGGCGACCTGGCTTGAAACTTGCAGGCACGATAGCATTTTGGCACAATGACCACTTATCCGAGGCTTTCGTCTGCAACGGGAGAAACTACTTACATGATCATCTTCATGTCACAAACTTATAATCCCTACACCTTGACCCCTAAACCCTGAACCATATATAACCTAAACCCTCAACCTCAAAATGCATGCATGAAGGCACTGGCAGTTCTCGGAGCTTTTTCAATCGTGCGCCACTCGGAGCCTGTGATCGCGTAGCCTAACACAGGCTGTCGGTGCAGAACTATACGGAACGAAATGCATTCGCCGGGAACTCAGTTTCATGAGCCACGAGCAATGCTTTGTGAAAACCCGGGCCAGATCCTAGAGTGCATGTGCATGCCGAGGCGACTTACTTTACTTCGGTTTATGTTCAAAATGCATGCAGCTATTGCACCCTTCAGTACTCTGGCGTGGTACCCTAGGCGGAGGCAGCTTCTTGCTTCTTCTTCTCACCTTAGATCGAACCCTCAGCAAATATATTTTTGGTAGATATATACATGCATGCTCCTAGAAACTATATAGACCCTCAAGGCACATGCATGTCAAACCGGATTGGGAAACCCAGACACTCAAGCAAAAAACATTCCAGCACGTGACGGTTCTTGTGACTCCTGACGACAGCAGCTGCATTGTTGATAGCATCGTCCATAACCTCATTCATGTCAAGAATCAGGTGCCGATCTTTCCTAATTTAGTGCCTGAAACTTGCTCGCGTTCTTTTCGACCTTGTCCAGCAAGAAGCGTGCGGTCTTGCCATTGCTTTCATCTGTTTCCAACCTGTGTTCCATATGGACTCAAGTAGGCCGCACAAATGATGCATGCCGTGGCCTTCGCGTGAAATCAGATAGCCAGTTGAACCACTTTTTGATGAACTCATGCTGCTCCTGCAAAGATCGAGCTTTATAAGACACCAGGAGTCGCCCCTCGCAGGCATCCGCACTGCTCACACTCACACTGCACCCGCTCACAGCAACTTTTTTCCCTGCACAGCTTATAATTGGATCCCGTGCATGTATGTGAAGCTAATTATCCATCTCGCAGCGGCATTCAAAATCATCATGCCACAAGGAATCAAATTTGGCGATTTCCTTTAAAGAAAGGAACTCAATAATGTAACACCTCGAGCAGTGCAAACAGTAGCCCGTCTGTTTGCACAGTGACCACCAGCCGGCCAGCTCTCGCACCGGGCGGTTCAGGAGATTGCCTAGCTCTTTTAACTGCTCAGCCTCACTCCGTTCCGGCGTCCCACCCACTTGGAGCTTGAGCAGCTGCTTTGCAAGGTCATCCACCTCCTCTTTGTCATTGTCTTCAATCTTCTTGGTGGATGCCATGGCGGTGGGATATAGTATGCTCGAGCAAAACTTCTATAGGTCAAGCATGTGCAGGAATGCATTGCATTGACTGCATTGCAGGCCCAACATGATATGCAACAAAGCCGCGGACCTCGAAGTTCGGCACTCCGGCAAGGCCAGCGGAAGTCTCTCGTGCTTTCTTCTGCAGCCTGTTCAACCTTTATATGCATGTTAATGCATGCGTGGAATCATGAGTGCCCTAGCATGCATGCGTAGGGTTTCGGATTGGAATCATGAGTGGGATTATAGCATGCATGCATAGGGGTTAGGATTGGTTTAGGGGGCGGTGGGGGAGGCGACAGCGGCTCCTCAATCGGCGGTTCCATGCATGCATGCGTGCACTCGACCCTCCCATGCATGCATGCATGCGTAGGGGTTCGGATTTGTAGGCTTATATACATAAAGGGTTGATGGAATAGCCCTTAGGGGTTTAAAACTGTTAATATATATAGGGGCCTTAATAAATGCGTGCGTAGGGTTTCGGTATAGGAAAAAGGATTTTTCTAGCCGTGAGGGGTTTACAGGTCAATGTAAGGGCCTTAACAATTATAAGGTTTTCGGGCCCATTATACATGCGTGCGTATAGGGTGTGAAAAGGGAAGATGAATTAGCCGTAAGGGGTTGACAAAAGTTAATATATGGGCCTTAATAATTAGAATAGGGTTTTTGGGGCCAGTATACTATATTATTATATAAGAAGCTAAATGGATTTTGGATTGGTACAACACAGATTGGTTTGCCCCCAAAAAAGCTTCAATGTAATTAGGGATATAATGCTTTAAGGGGTTTGGGCCGTGGATTTTAGGGCTTTTTTTCCGTCATATCACAGTCAAGCAGCCTGGCCACCTCTTTCTTCAAGAGCTTCTCGTCCGAAGTCGGCTCTTCGCCTTCCGCACCTGCAGCCTTCTCTCTTTTGCTGGGCTCCGGATCATCGGAGCTGCAGTCGCTGCTCTTCTTAGCCTTCTTCTTCTTCTTAGAGCTGCTCGAGCCAGAGAGAAGGCCTTTTCCGTAGGCGACGGCGGCAGCCGTGCTTTCCTCGTTTTCGGGGTCCAGTTCCGCCCTTGCCCTGAGTGTCTGGCTGGACTTCCTCTCCGATCCGCCTAAGCGTCGTGCATGCATGCGTTAAAGAACATTATATGCATGTGCATGAGTGCATGAGCATGAGTGCATGAGCATGTATATAAGGCCGTGGCTCTTGGTTTCGGTTCCTAAGTAGACTTTGTACAGGGCGTAGAGAGGGTTTTTCCGGTGGCGGGGGTCCGGGTGAGGCTTTCCCTTCTGGGTCTTCAAGTCTTCCAAGAACTGCCGCCCACTTTCGGTGCCGCTGTAGAGCCGCTCGAGCTCGTACAGGGGGAGCTCCGCCGACTTGTTGAAATTCTTGTTCTTTGCCGCTTCCTCGTAGGCGACTTCGATGTGCACGGAGCTCCTTAACGAAGGTATAGGGAGGGGAGTTGGTTTAGCTATATATCGATGCATGCAGACATGCATGCATCGAGGGGTCCATGCTTGATGAACGACTTATAGCAGCACATGTGTGAGGGGAGTTATGGTTTAAGCATGCAGACATGCGGCATAGACGGGTCAAGGATGAACGACTTTAGCAGCTCGAACCTCTTGCGGTGGTTGCCACGACAGGCTTTGAACTTTTCCACCAGGGCAGCAGGAGTTTCTCGCTCTTCCATCTTCCTGTCCAGAGCCCGGTACAGCATCCGCCGCTCTTGGGCCGGTATACTCGACCCATCAGACATCGACTCCAGGAGGAGTCGCGTCTCCGGCGTGATGTCCTTCACCTATGCATGAGCATGCATGATTGGGGGAATATATGCGTGATGAGGGACTAAAGGGAGTAGCTCTACTGCATGCATGATTTTAGGGGAGCCTGGTTGCATAATAGGAATAGGGCATGATTGCGGGAGCGTGGGTTGCATTATAACTAAACGGTATACCATGCGTGACAGGCCGCACGTCGCAGCTTGCCGTCGGGACCCACCGTGGAGAGGCCGGTGGAGCTTGTGGCCTGACTTAATCCTATATATGCATGCATGTCTATTCATATTATTGAAACCATGTGTGAGTCCTAAAGCATGCATGTCTATTCAATTTCTTGAAATCATGTGTGAAACCTAAAGCATGCATGAAGAGCCAAGCAACACTGTCTTTACTCTGGGTACTTGCAAGCGACGTTGTGCTCGTCTGCCGTGTCGGCCTGGCGAATATGAGTTCACACGATCTATAGAGGCTACTTAGGTTCAAACTGCCTGCTGCTGTCCAGACCACTTCCGAGCTTCCTGACTTTCGACGGCGGCGTCTTGTACTCGTCACCTGCGGACCTCTTGCCCTTCTCGGGTTCCTCTTCCTCCTCCTCTTGGGGAACTGCCTTCGTGGCCTTGCTCTTCGGCTTTGTCTTCTGAGGCGGGTTGTCCACTTCCTCCTCTTCCTCTTCCTCTTCCTCTTTCCTGCCTGCCTCTTTGCTCTTCGGCTTTCCCTTTGCCTTCCTGGGTGGGCTTTCCTCTTCCTCCTCCGGTTCCTCCTCTTCCTCTTGCTTTCTTGTCTTCTTGCTCTTGGCTTTCTTGGACGTAGGCGGGTCTTCCTCCTCCTCTTCCTCGTTTTCGTCTTCCTCCTGTGCGGGGGGTGGCTTGTTGTTCCTCCCCCTTCCCCTTCCTCTTCCCCTTCCCTTTCCTTTCTTTGGCGGGGCTTCCTCGCCCTTTTCCTCCTCTGGCTCTTCGTCCTGTGCGGGGGCTGGCTTCTTGTTCTTTCCCCTTCCCTTTCCCTTCCCCTTTTCTTTCTTAGGCGGGACTTCCTCCTCCTCTTCCTCTTGCTCCTCTTCCGGGTCTGTCACCTTCTTGCTCTTTCCCTTCCCCTTTCCTTGCTTTTCTTGTGGAGCTGTTGCCTTCGTCTTGCTCTTTCCCTTCCCCTTTCCTTTCTTAAGCAGGGCTTCCTTTCCCTCCTCCTCTTCCTCCGGTGCGTTGTCTTGCTCCTCTGAGGGGGCTCCCTTCCTGGGCTTTCCCTTTGTTTTCTTAGGCAGGCTTTCCTCCTCCTGTTCCTCCTCTTCCTCTTTCTTTTCTGCCTTCTTGGGTTTCTTGGACTTGGCGGGGGCTTCCTCGTCCTTTTCCTTTTGCTCCTCTTCCGGGGCTCCCTTCCTGGGTTTGCTCTTGTCCTTTGCTTTCTTAGGCGGGGCTTCCTCTTCCTCCTCCTGTTCCTCCTCTTCTTCGTCCTCTGCCTTTGGTGCCTTCGTGCCCTTGGCTTTCGTAGACTTGGCGGGGACTTCGTCTTCCACTTGTTCCTCTTCGGTGGCTCCCTTCCTGGGCTTGCTCTTAGCCTGTCCCTTTGCTTTGTTAGGCGGGCGTTCCTCTTCCTCCTCCTGTTCCTCCTCTTCTTCGTCCTCTTCCTTTGCTGCCTTCGTGCCCTTGGGTTTCTTACACTTGGGGGCGGCTTCCTCTTCGAGGGCTGGCTTCCTAAGCTTCTTCTTCTTCTCACTCGTCACTTTGGCTTCCTTAGGCGAGCTGGTTTCCTCCTCTTCTGCGTTGGTCTTCGCTCGTTTCTTACGGGGCTGCTCGACTTGGTCCTCCAAGCACAGCTGCTGTTTCCCGGTCTTTCGTCGCCTAGGGTTCTCAAAGTCGTCGGGGGCAGGGAACAAGGCTCTTCTGGTGTTGTCACCTTCCTTGGTTCGGCCGTGCTGGACATGCATGCACTGTGGCTACATGCATGATCGGTGTGCATGAGCATGCATGTGCATGCATGTATACAGCATGTGAGTGTGCGTTGTGAATGCACATGCATGTACCAGCATGAGTGTGCTTTGTGAATGCAGTCATGCATGCATGTATGCATGCATTGTATATATATATATATATATATATATATATAATCCCTTCCCCTTAATATTAAAGGGTCGGGGCCCCCCCCCCCTTCGCCCTAAATAAAAACTCGAAAATGTTTTTATAATTAGGGGGGGGTTGTTATCTCAATTCCTAGAAACACAGGTTCTACAAGTAATTAAATGATGAAAATGATGACGATGAAAATGATGATGACGATTACGGTGATGCTTGTTATGATGAAGATGGCGGTAGTGGTGGTGATGGTAATGATGACGATGATCATATGATGATGATGAAGAACATGATGATGATGTTGTTGTTGATGATAGCAATGCTTCATGGTTGCACAAGTGCAGAAGAGCACATGTTGTGAATGCCAGAAGCTTGGAAATAACATGATAATTAATTAAATATGATAGGAACTGATTAATTAATTAATGATGTTCCAAGATTCTGGCATTCGCTGCAAGTGCTTTGCTTCTGAAAGCTGTCAACAATCTGCCCGCTCCGCCACAGACAGGCAGCCTCAAGAAGAGGCCTTTGGGCCTCGCTTCAACAGGCTGTCACACACACACACACACTCACACTCACACTCACACTCAGACAGACCAACCGGAGCACTCAAACACAGACACCACTCACACACACTCACTGAGGAGGCAGACAGACAGCTGGAAGTGCTTCTTCGCTTCGCCGCCATGGGCGGCTGAGTGCCGCCATGGGCGGCGAGGAAGCCCACGAGAAGGCGGGATCTTTTCTAAGACGGGCGTTAGTAATCCTTCAGACACAAAAATGACGGGCAGGGGAATCGAACCTCGGCACCATCCATTGAGAGTGTAGCACTACCCCCTCGGCTATCCTGTAGCATATCGAAGTAGTGCAATTCTGACCCCTAGGAGATTATCACGACCACGATTCGCGGGCGCAAGGCCGAATGCAGTAATTACTGATAGCAAAGAACAGAGGATTGTAGTACAAGCTTAGTACTGGAAGAGCCTCGTCTCGGATGCTGTCGGGATGATGTCGGTGCTAGAAGTGTCTCCTGGCCGATGCTGGCTGGATGGTGCTCAATTGTAGTACAAGCTTAGTACTGGAAGAGCCTCGTCTCGGATGCTGTCGGGATGATGTCGGTGCTAGAAGTGTCTCCTGTCCGATGCT